ATATTGTTGTACGTGTGTCTATGTGGGTATTTGCACATGTAAATAAACGTATGTATATATAGGATTTGCATGATTATGTTTGTGATATATATATATATATATAAGAAGAAAGCAAAATCTTTAATATTAACCTCAAATATTATTCCATAATGAAACCTAAACCTTAAGTAAGGAACTTTACCCATATAATAATAAAGAAAAATTGCATTCATAAATTAGATTAAAAGTAAACTAATATAGATGTTACCGTAACTTTTTTTACAATATTAAGGAAGTACGATTGGTCGGCTAAATAATCTATTATAATTTAAAATATTTCTTTAATACGTTTTCTATAAATGTGTTAATAAAAATAGTAGTTAACTTATATTAAGCCCCTAAACTATTTGCTTGAAAAATTAAATATTTAAATTGATGGCAATCATCAAATTTTTTTAAACCTAAATTTCTATCAAGCATTGTAATCTATCCTTTACATAAATTGTGAAATCCCAATCACAGCCTCTTTCGATTTACTTCCCTCTCCCTCTATCTCTCTCTCTCCTTGCTGTAACACTCATTTGTATATATCTGTATTACTATTTTCTGTCTCCTCTTTCTCTTTCGTTTTTCCTTTTTCTTTTCTCCCTACTCCCCTCCCATTTCTGTATATCATTTCCGTTAAGTTATCCATCTAAATAGGTCAATGTCTGGCCACTCCTCCTACCCCAATATAAAGTACACTTGAGAGAGATATGAAATTAACCCCTCCCTATACTCTACCATGTCTCTTTAACTATCCCTCTCACACCCCCTGTTAAATTACAAAAACTTACACTTCCCATCAATTTTAATCTCCTTTTTCGTTTCATTCCGTAGTTGGAAGTACTATCTGATGATCCGGCGTCCTTTTTAAAAGGACTCTGGTGAAATAAATTATTGTAATGGTACCTTAAAGTGGCCTGGTTTTCTTTTAAATATATATATATATATATATATATATATATATATATATATATATATATATATATATATATATATAAAATTGAACATAAAATTATGTTTATTTAAATCAATATATATATATATATATATATATATATATATATATATATATATATATATTGATTTAAATAAACATAATTTTATGTTCAATTTTTTTTTTTTAGTATCCTGACCTAGGCTGTCTTTGGGCCAACGCATCATATATCATAGAATTTAGTTTTGAAAATATTATGTACGCTCAAGTAGATGGGGTTTCTATGGGAAGTCCCTTGGGTCCCTTTTTAGCTAACATTTCTGTGGGTTATCAGAAGAGACTTTTGTTTGAGAAGTATCAGAAACCGTATATCTATCAACGTTACGTTGATGATACTTTTTCTATGTTTAATAAAATAGAGGAGGCAACTCCTTTTTTGTGAATCCTTAAATGGTTTATATCCATCTTTGGTTTTCAAAATGGAGTGAACAATTTCTTTTCTGGATGTTCTTGTGGAGAGGAAGAATAGTATTTTTATTACCAGTGTTTTTCGTAAAGACACCTTTTCAGGTCTTTACACCAATTGGAATTCTTTTGTCCCTCAGCATAGAAAAATAAATTTGATTAAAACTTTAGTACATCGAGTTCTATTTATTTGTTCGTCATGGACACTCCAACAGGAGTTAAATAAAATCCCTTGTGTTCTTGTCAATAATGGTTTTCCAACTCGTATTTTGAACCGTACAATTGAACGAAAAATAGACAACATTAATATGCCCCCTAAATTGGGCCCTGGTCTATGTTCTGTCTATCTTAAATTACACTGGCTTGGCAGAAAATGCAAACTTTTAGGTGACAGAATTTCTACTATTGTATCTGACACTATGTATTATTTTTGGCACTCGCTCGATTTTACCTTCCTTTTCTAAAGACCGTCTACCGTATGACAATAAAAGTTATTTACAAATTCAAATGTCAGTACGAAGTTGAATACATAGGACTAATGAGTCTCGGGTTAGAGTCGAGAATAAGCCAACATGTTCCCAGGTATATTAGATTACATTCTTGTGATCATTCTCGTGTGTCGCTATCAGCGAACGAGTCTTCAATAGGACAACACCTATTAATATAATGAGTCATGCTAGTCTTGTTTTTCGTTTCACCCGTTTTCTATTTTGCATACAGGCAAATCAAAACATCATTTATTCCTTTTGGAAGCTTTATGCTTAAAATTATTCCAATCTGTACTGTGCAAGCAGAAGGAGAATTTTTAAAGATCATTGAATTTATTTTTTCCTTTTGGATCATTTTTTTTTTATTTACGTATTTTAATCGTAAATTTATTTGTTTTTTTTTTTTTTTTTTGAATTTTACGTATTTCGTAATTTTAAGCGTGTTCCAGTACTATCTCTTATCAATCCAAATGAGTTAAAATTGCCAACGATTGGTCCCTGATAATGCGTTGGCGGAAAGGCAGCCTAGGTCCGGATATTAAAAAAAAAAATGAACATAAAATTATGTTTATTTAAATCTATATTCCTGTTTTGTGGTATCAGGTCTTTGTTTCAATATATATATATATATATATATATATATATATATATATATATATATATATATATATATATAGATAGATAGATTGATAGATAGATAGATACACCTAGTGAGCCAGACAAATCTACCTAGGTTTCACCTAAACGGATCGTCAGGAAAGTCAAGCTTGACTTTCCCTGACGATCCACTTAGGTGAAACCTTGGTAGGTCTGTCTGGCTCACTAGGTGTATCTAGGTCTGCTCTACGGTTGTATTGAGCTCTTTTGTTAGTTAGTTGTTACTCGTATCGGGTTTTTTTCTTTGGGCTTCAAATCTGCATCTGTGCCATTTTTTGTCGGCAGAAGTTCATGTTTGTAGCTCTTTCTTTTTTTTAAAACTTTTTTTCCCTCGAGATTGATTTGATTATTGGCAAATCAAAAATTCGAGGGTTTTTCGAAACGAGTCTAGTTATCTATATTTTTATATATATATATATATACCGGACGTCTAGCCACAGATGAGTGTGGCTAGATGTCCGTGCTATATATATATATATATATATATATATATATATATATATATATATATATATATATCGTAAAAACTTAATGCATCAACAAAAAACACTATTATAAATTAAAATTTATTTCAACGGGTAAATTTTAAAATTTTTAATACCCGTTTCATCAGACCGAAAATTATAAATGACATAATTAGAATACAAGTACATGGTACATTATTTACATTATTCAGACTATTGTCCTCATCTTTGTCGCCATATTTATTACAACGTTTCGGCCGTTGTACGCTCCAAGAACACCAGGAAGCTGTAACACGAGGGGAAGTGGAAAAATCAGGCGTGGCTGACCACATATGGAGAGAGAAGGGAGATCACCGCCCTCTGTGAAATCAGGTTGAGATCATAGACAAAGAACACCATTGGAAAATTCGTAAACGTAAGGAATCAGCACATATGCTAGGCCACAAAAAGCCGACCAAGCATAGAAATGAATACAATATGGTAACCAGTAATAAGGATTGCCAGAGAGAGAAGAGATAATAACAACAAAAATTGCAATATGAGCTCTGGTAAAATCATGCAATGATAACAGCAAAAAATTGCAGTATGAGCACTGGTAAAATGGTTGCTGAAGATATTAGGTTTATAATACCCAGAAATTCATACACAAATATCCTCAAGGCACTGATTAGATCCAGTGACAGGACCCAAAGAACATGAGTTCAATACCCGGTTAAGGCAGTGGAGAACTTTCAGAGGGAAATTAACAGGAGATAACTGATAACTGACATCCATTAAACATGGCACGTGGAACTAGAACAGTCTACCCCAGTGAGCGAAATAAAAGGTTCAGTTCGACATTCCAACCACCTGAAGAAAGCCGGAGCGTACAACAGCCTAAACGTTGTAATAAATATGGCGACAAAGATCAGGACAATAGTCCGAATAATGTAAATAGTGTACATAATATCTCATCTCAGAAATGTAGATTGATACTGAAAGTCCGAAACGTTGTAATAAATATAAGGACAATAGTCCGAATAATATAAATAATGTCCATAATACCTCATCTCAGAAATATAGACAAATAATGAAGTAATTCAAATTTTGAATTTCTATATACTTGTATTCTGATTGGTCATCATAGGTTACATAATAATGTTTCCCCTATTGAAGGGGTTTGGTTGTTTTTTTTGTTGTTTTTTTAACTCTTAAAACACTTTATTTTGAAATTAACAGCATCACTTGATAAGACGCCACTAGTGTTGAAACATAATTCCAATTTTTGTAGTGATGTTACAACATGCATATGTTATAATTTTGAATATATATATATATATATATATATATATATATATATATATATAAGAAATGGACAAAGTCCGAGAATTTATTTATTAAAGACATTTTTATGTTTAACGTTCTTTTTTTTTTTTTATAGATACAAGTATTTAAGTAAATGCTCTGTTTATAATAAACAGTATTAAATAACATTTACCGGCCTGAATGTCCGAGAAATTTTCATAGAAAATATTCATCCTTTGACAGGATTCGAACCTACATCCTATACGGAACCGTCATTTACGCTGACGTGCCTTAACCGACTCGGCCACAAAGGAGCGTTCGGTCAAAGGACGAATATTTTCTATGAAATTTTCTCGGATATTCAGGCCGATAAATGTTATTTAATACTGTTTATTATAAACAGAGCATTTACTTAAATACTTGTATCTATAAAAAAGAACGTTAAACATATAAATGTCTTTAATAAATATATATATATATATATATATATATATATTGGAATCAAAAAAAACATTTCGCTTGAAGATGGAACAGAGCTTACTTTAATTCAATTTAATTCAAATAATTATATTGAAGTTTTCGGCTCTTGTTTTGGAACATGAGAACTCTTATGTAGCGTGTTGGAATCATATTTTTAAATAAATAATTATATATATATATATATATATACTTAAATGTATTGGTTCAAACTAATATTATTGGGCAAGAGTTGAACATAGATAGATAGATAGATAGATAGATATTTATAAATGTAAAAGACAATAGGAAAACTGTAATGGTAGCCGACGCGTTTTCGTCCAATGTGGACTTTTTCAAGACAAAAACGAAATGAATTTATTAAAACAAAGTAACTATTAATAACAAAGCAAAATGCCCTTAGCAACTGGAAGTATTTAGAGAACGCTACTTTCATACTGTTAACTATTACAGTTTTCGTATTGTCTTTTACATTTATAAATATTGTCCTTTTCTATAGGTTCACTCTGAGAAATTTTTCATAGATATGAGCACATTGAAAAATCTGAGATACATAGATATAAGCAGGTTGAGGTCGATACATATGAACAGACAGCGATAGATAGATAGATAGATAGATAGATAGATAGATAGATAGATAGATAGATAGTGTTGTGGTAGGATCCACCTAATTTGAATAGTGAAGTACCGACCATATAAATATGGTTGGTACCGGGAAGAAAGGAAGGAATCAAGAGATTCAATCCAGAGACTCTGCCCGACTGCGACTAAGTCAACACATTCTCCAGGAACGGTCTTCCCGTGAATATACAAAAGACTATATGTAAATATTGTGTACACTTTCTTGTTTCAATACATTTTGTTCTAAGTACATTTTGTGTTGTATTATTATTCCATGCATTAGTCAAGTTTCAACAGATAGATAGATAGATAGATAGATAGATAGATAGATAGATAGATAGATATGAACAGACTGGGATAGATAGATAGATAGATAGATAGATAGATAGATAGATAGATAGATAGATAGATAGATATGAACAGACTGGGATAGATAGATAGATAGATAGATAGATAGATAGATAGATAGATAGATAGATATGAACAGACTGGGATAGATAGATAGATAGATAGATAGATAGATAGATAGATAATGAACAAATCGGAAACGTTTATCGATCTAACATGATTGATTGCTTTCTACTGGTTATTTAAATTAAAGCAGGTTGAGATCGATACATATTACAGCGATAGATAGATAGATAGATAGATAGATAGATATGAACAGACTGGGATAGATAGATAGATAGATAGATAGATAGATAGATAGATAGATATGAACAGATTGGTATAGATAGATAGATAGATAGATAGATAGATAGATAGATAGATAGATAGATAGATAATGAACAAATCGGAAACGTTTATCGATCTAACATGATTGATTGCTTTCTACTGGTTATTTAAATTAAAAATAGGCACTTGAGACCATCTACTAATCTTTGTCAAAATTGATTCCAAACCGTCTGGAACCAACCACATCAAATTTCAGATGACAAACTAAAGATACCCGAAAGCTGACTAGAATTTGCTGTCTTGGTATTGTTCAAAATTCCAAAACAGCGTCCTTCAAATCCAAATGCATTCTCACTGGTACAGAGTTAAATAAGCTAACTTGGCTCATGCCTGACCAGGGCTCAACTATAATCTCTGTCAGAGGGAGCCTTGTGGCAGAACTTAACGCATTCAGAGCAAGTGAATCCTGCAAAATGCACGAAGTGCAAGCAGTCCAAGCCAAAGCTAAAAAAAACGAAAAATCTTCGTTCACTCAAATTCCTGAAAATCGAAAACACGATCGTCACTAGCGGGAAGCTATCAGTGTCTTCCATGATAAAGGACCCTGAAGTTTTCGCATTTTCATCAGAAAAGGCTAAGCTACTACACAACAAGGGCTATCCCCACCTCGACTTCTCACGGAGCACACACTCTATCCTGGCTCGGTGAATTTCCCGAATTTTGAAAAGGTTAAGGCTACTGGTCCGGATGAAATTCCTGTAGTTGTTGTCCAGAACCTAATCCAGATCATATACCAGCCTTAACTGCCTAAAGGAGAAATGGTTCCCATGTCTAGGAATGGTGTTAGCCGTATGCCCCGTTTAAATAAATGCGGAAAAGCGCTGATGACCGTCACAAGACTACACTTTATCCTTAGTGCCATCAGAAAACTCTTTTGAGATTATTATCAAGTTGTTTATCACCTCAGTAGAAACAACCTCCTGAGAGACAAACAGTATGGATTTCGCTTCACTAGGTCCACTGCTGATGTTTTAAATCATTACACATAGAAACGATGAAGCATTTCATAATGGACTCAATACGAGAGCGATCCACTTAGATATTTCACTAGACTCCTGATATGGAGTGGTATAGGGTGTTACAACATAAACATTCGGCTTTGACATCTCGCGGAATATCTTTTCAGTTACCCAGTTCTTCCTATCAGATAAGACTATAAAGATCGTCGTTAATCACCGGCTCTCTGAAGCTCATGGGACCAATCTAGACTACCTCTAAGGCTCTGTCCTTGGTTTTCTGCTACCCACTTTCAGTTTTATATTAACGTTCTACCTAGGAACATTCATTAGGACATATATGCATATGATACAACGCTTTATGTACCTCCAAAAATCAAGAACAGAACCTAGCAGCTGGTCTATCCTCTGAGTTAATAATCTGCAATATTATTGGTCCTGACCTGACATCACGGCTTCAGTCGATTTTCTCCCCACCATAATATATCTTCACTGTGCCTTATCTACAAATACTTTCATAGTAATCGTTCTGATCAACTTTTCGCGATGATTGTGGGGGTTTTATTACTAATATTATTTTCTTTAGTTTCTTGTAAATAGTTTAATTTTCATATTGTAAATACTCATTGAGGCTATTTTATAGAATTGTTGTTTATATTCTCATCCCCCACTAGAGACAATGAATTGTATATATGAGGACTAGTTAATATTTTCATAGAGACAAAGAGGTATTATGGTGGATGTAGTAAGAAAGGTATGTATGAATGTGTTGTTTTAGTGTAAGGAATATTATTTGTACGATTGGGTCAGCGTTTGCGGCTAGCTAAGTTATAGTTAAGACAGAAGAAGACCGTCCTTTCCCAAGTCCCCTCTACGGCCTTGTGCCACATTTCTGTATTTTAACAGAATAAGTATCACTTTCCGCTATGTTTGCGGGGGGGGGGTTATTACTAATATTATTTTCTTTAGTTTCTTGTAAATAGTTTTGTTTTCATATTGTAAATACTAATTGAGGCTATTTTATAGAATTGTTGTTTTTATTCCCTCCCACCACAGACAACGAATTGTACATATGGGGACTAGTTAGTATTTTCATAGAGACAAGGAGGTATTATGGTGATTGTAGTAAGAAAGGTACGTATGAATGTGTTGTTTTGGTGTAAGGAATATTGTTCGTACGATTGGGTCAGTGCCTGCGGCTAGCTAAGTTATCGTTAAGACAGAAGAAGACCGTCCTTTCCCCAATCCCCTTTTCGGCCTTGTGCCACATTTCTGTATTTTAACAGAATAAATATCACTTTCCGTTATGATTCCGGACTTTTTCAGGTTCTGTCTGTATTTCTGAGATGAGGAATTGTTACTATTTACACAATTTATACAGTTTGGACTGTTTTCCTCATCTGTATTGTCATATTCATAACGTTTCGGTGCTCCGACCTTCTTCAGGATCTGTCTATATTTCTGAGATGAGTTATTGTTACTATTTACACAATTTACACTGTTCGGATTATTGTCCTCATCTTTGTTGCCATATTCACGACGTTTCGGGGCTCCAGCCTTCTTCATGATCTGTCTATATTTCTGAGATGAGATATTGTTACTATTTACACGATTCACATTGTTCGAAATGTTGTCCTCATGTTTATTGTCATATTCACGGCGTTTCGGCGCTCCGGCCTTTGTCATGATCTGTCTATGTTTCTGAGATGAGGTATTGTAATTATTTGCACAATTTACCCTGTTCGGACTGTTGCCCTCATCTGTATTGCCATATTCACGACATTTCGGTGTTCCGGCCTTCTTCGGGATATGTCTACATTTCTGAGATGAGGTATTACTATTTACACGATTCACATTGTTCGAACTGTTGTCCTAATCTTTAGTGTCATATTCACAACGTTTCGGCGCTTCGGCCTTCGTCAGGATCTGTCTATATTTTTGAGATGTGGTATTGTTACTATTTACACGATTTACATTGTTCGGACTGTTTTTTTTTTATTCTTCTTCTTTCATTGTTTTAGATCGTTTGTAGTGATTTACTTTTATTTATATTCGTTCTCAATTAAACGTAGTTTTTGTTGGCTAACGTTTTTATAATTCTTTCTGACTCAGTAACTCCCTTGCATCTCAATGGCTTTATTGCCTTTCCTGAGGCGAAATGATTATTTTTTAAAAGCTCGCACGATTCAATGGGAAGAAAGCTGGCCTTTAACAGTCAATACACACATAACAAGTCAAGTAACGTTTCGTTACCATCGGACAGATCCCAATTTTTTGCCAGTCTTGAAAAACTGTTGTACTCTCAATGGGGATTCTTGCCTGGGACGCCTTTTAGAACAAGATCTGCGTCCAGGCCTCAAGTGAAACACCCATTTGTGATCCATCGTAAAGATAAAACGTTCGGTTCATGGTAAGTTCTACCATACTCTCTTTTGAGAAGAGTCAGATGTAAACAAAAATAGAGGGAGTATTGCTGCCGCATCTAGACAGGAGCTGCCCAGTCCTCACTTTCTGTTTTGAGGGAGAATATTTCTCTAAAAGTTTGGACTCGGCCGTCGGATAAAAGACATAAAAATACGCCTACATCAAGAGGAGTAGCAGCAGGAGCAGTAGCCTTTGCTGAAAACCGTTCGTCATTCACGGCTAAACATTCTCTTCCCTAGTTTCTATTCTACATTATGTTTCCCTGTTCCAAAAGGTAATAAACATGTTGTTAAACCAATTCCAGTTTCCTACTGTTGTTTCTGATAACTCAGTTAGAATATATATATATATATATTTCACATTATTAAAGCTTCTTCAGAGATCAAGATATGATATACAAATAAATATGATATCAAAATATGATATACAAATAAATATATTAATATACAAATAAATAGGCATGATATGTCTATATTATTCAATGAAAAGTGCTTCAATGAAGATATTCTGTGTATTCTATATATATATATATATATATATATATATATATATATATATATATATATATATATATATTGACAATTTTAATATATTGTTGTTAGGGAGAATATTTCCCTACAAGTTTTGACTCCGCCGTCGAACGAAAGACTTAAAATACTCCTACATCAAGAGGAGTAGCAGCAGGAGCAGTAGCCTTTGCTGAAAGCATTTAGTCATTCACAACTAAACATTCTCTTCCGTAATTTATATTCTACATTATGTTTCCCTGTATCAAAAGGTAATAAACTTGTTGTTAAACCAATTCCAGTTTTCTACTGTTGTTTTTTTTTATAACTCAGTTACATTAAGATACTGCATTTATTAGAAAATATATTCATTTTAAAGACACCTGGAATCAGGAATATGGCTTCAAAGGGGCGCATATTTATTCTCTTTTCCTGTTACCCAGGGGTTGTTGCAAGAGATGGATATTAACTCTCACAACACAAATGTTCTTTCCAATTTATTTAAGTGTTGTGATGAAGAATATTTCCCTATAAATTTGGACTCAGCTGTCAGACGAAAGGCATAAAAATAAAAAGAGGAGTAGCAGTAGTAGTAGCAGTGGCAACAGTAGCTTTTGCTGAAAACACTCAATAAAGTTGTTAAACCAATTCAAGTTTTCTACTGTTGCTTTTGATAACTCAGTTACACTATATATATATATATATATATATATATATATATATATATATATATATATATATATATATATATGGCAGGTGAAAAATATTACCAGCAATATATTTCTGGAAAAAAAATTAACAGCAATACATTTTTGAAAAAAAAAATACCATACATAAATATTTGATTAAAAAAAATACCAGCAATACATTTAAAAAAAAAAAATTATCAGAAATGCATTCGTGGACAGAAAAATGACCAGAAATGCATTTTTGAAAATAAAATATTACCAGGAATACATTTTTTAAAAAATTACCAGCAATACATTTTTGAAAAAAAAAAATTACCAACAATACATTTTTGAAAACAAATTACCAGCAATGAAAATCTTGTCGGCATTAAATAACCCATTGAGTTTGATATGCCGTAAAACGAAACAAACCAAACCTAAGCAACTAGCTATATTGTGGAAAAACGAAATTTTCGACAATATATACATTTTTTTACGTATTTTTGGTTATCTTTTAAATTTGATCAAAAACGACATTCTTGTACATGTCGTTATGGAGAATATTATATATTAATTACTAATTTTTTTAATTAATAACTATTTGTGCGCAGTTGTTGACATTAATAGCTATCTGCTGATGTGTTAAAATTTTGGAATAATGCAATAATAAAAAATTCAATTTCAATTCTCTGATAGATGTCGGGATCTGTTAAACGTTATCAAACCATGGGTTAGTCTCTCGTTCGTAAAATGAATAAGAAAATAAAACTAACCTGGCCGCTCGTCTTGAAATGGACCTCCAATCGGTTGTTAATTGGGGCAACAATTGGCTGGTCAACTTTAACGCCTCAAAAACTAAACTACTCTCTATTAATCACTATAGAGATCCTTCCCTGCCCCCATTAGGATGTCTGATAGTCAACTTCTTGAGAGCAACTCTCTGCGTCTGCTCGGTCTCACGTTGACTGCTGACTTGAGATGGAACAAATACATTGAGTCAATTGTTTCGTCCACGGCGAGGAAAGTTGGCTCTCTGTGCCACGCCAGGAAATTTTTCTCCCCGGTATCGATACTTCAAATATACAAATCAACCATTCGCCTTTGCATGGAGTATTGCTGCCATATATGGTCTGGAGCACCTTCTGTTTACCTCGGAGTCCTTGACAAGATCCAGAGGCGGATATGTAATATAATTGGCCATGATCTGGCATCTCGTCTACAGTCACTCTCTCACAGGCGCGCCGTTGCCTCTCTCTGTCTTTTTTACAAGTAATTTCGTGGTAATTGCTCCGATGAGCTGCTTTCACTGGTTTCCAAGACTTCGCGAATTCAAGCCACCTACGTGGTTGGCATCCCGCTCTCACCGTTTTACTGTCGAAACTATTAAATGTAGCCGTCTTTCTACTCTAATAGCTGAATGTCTCGCACCTCTTGCCTGTGGAACTCCCTTCCCTATTCCAGTTTCCCTGAGAGCTATAATCTCCAACTATTCAAATGCAATGTCAATCGACATCCCCAGTTACCTTGATCTATCCACTATCCCTCTACTCATCCTTCTATCACTCCTATCAGCTCTTGCTCCAAATATTCTGCAACCCCCTGCATCCTAGTGGCTTCACGCCTTGCTCGGGGCGTAATGCTTAAAAAAAACGATATCTGTCTATATCTCTGAGATGAGGTATTAAGTTTACTTACATTATTTACTTTACTCGGGCTGTTATCCTCATCTTCAATGACATATCCACAACGTTTCGGTCGTTGTACGCACCTGACTTCATCATGTGATTGGAATGTCGAACCGAACCTTTCATTTCGTCTACCGGGGTAGATTGTTCTAGTTTCACGTGCCATGCCTCTTCCAGATGTTTCAGTCATTACGATCTTATGGTCAACCGTTATTTTTCCTGTGCATCCACCTGATTTTCCCTTCCATCCTTCACGGCAGTGTATCAACCTCATCCATTTATATTAGTGTAAACAATAAAATAAAAAAAATGCTGGATTATCAAATGCTTGGACCTTACTTTTCGGACATCCTGCGTAGCTTCCACCTTCGGAAGATCTGTAGATGACCGCTCGAAACGTTCTGTGTCACATAAAACTCGGGGAAGCGCAGATGTCAAAACTTCGTAAGTCTTGGCCAACTCAGTGCTCATAAAAACCTCAGATCTGTAGCCATGCTGACGTCAAGTGCTACACTCCTTCGCTTGTACGGATTTCGGCTAATCCATCATCGCCAAAGTGTGTCTGGCTAGAGTGACCTCGTTAATCCGCCATGAAACTGTTTTATGACATCTCTTGGACACTTGTGTGGGAATGGATTGTAAAGAAAAGAAAAGAAAAGAAAAGGGAGTGAAGGAAATAAGAAAGCGTGTTTTAGAGAGGTAATATGGGGAATGGCTGCTATACGAGTGAAGAGGCAGCAGTGAGGTTAAATTTGGAAAAAAAAAGAAAGAGCGAAAACATAATGAAGAAAAGCAGACGATAGCATGACAAAATGGCAGCAAAAGAAAAAAGAAAACATTTAAGATAACAAAAATCATGATCGAAAGACAGAAGAACGAATGAAAGGAAGAAGCAAATGAAAAGATGTTGGGATTAACGAGTTTAAAGAGGAAAAGGAAAATAAGAGGAAATGAAGGAAGGAATATAAATAAGCAAGAATGAAGCAATATAAAAGAGATGAATGAAAAAAGAGGAAAGAGCGGAATAGAAATGTCGGAAGGAAAACTGAAAAAGAAAGAAAGAAAGAAAGAAAGAAAGAAAGAAATAGAAGGAAGGAAAGTGAAATGGAAGATAAAATTGAGGAAGAAAAAATGAGGGATGAAAAAAGAAAAAAATGAAGAAAGAAAACTTCACTATTTTCATTATTTGGACTATTGCCCTCATCTTTGTCGACATATTTATGACAACGTTTTACCCGTTGTACGCTCCAGCCTTCTTCAGGTGGTTGGAATATCAAACTGAACCCTTTATTTCGCTCACTGGGGTAGACTGTTCCAGTTCCACGGGCTATGTCTAATAGATGTCAGTTATCAGTTATCTCCTGTTAATTCCCCTCTGCAAGTTCTCCACTGCCTTAACCGGGTATTGAACTCACACTGTTTGGGTCCTCTTACTGGATCTAACCAACGACTTTATCCAATGTGATTTGAGGACATCTGTGTATCAATTTCTGGGTATTATAAACCTAATGTCTTCAGCAACCGTTTTTTACCAGTGTTCATATTGCAATTTTTGCTGTTATCATCATGTTTTTACCAGAGCTCATATTGCAATTTTTGTTATTATTATTGCTTTTCTCTGGCATTCCTTATTGTGGGTTCCCATACTGTATACCCAGAAATTCATACACAGATGTCCTCAAGGACACATAGCAGCTTACTTCATTTCTTTCTTTCTTTCTTTCTTTCTTTCTTTCTTTCTTTCTTTCTCATTTCGTATATTAGCTTACTTTCTTAACTTCACTTTTCCTTTCTTTATTCATTCCTTTTCTTCTTTCTTTCTTTGCTTATATCTTTCTTTCTTTCTTTTTTCTTTCCGTTTCAATTAGTACTTTCTTTTTTTTCTTTCCGTTTCAATTAGTACTTTCTTTTTTTTCTTTCTTACTCTCTTTCTTTCTCCTTTCGTAGGACAGCTTACTTCATTCTTTTCTTTCGTTTTTCTTCTTTTTCTATTGTTACTTTTTCTTCCTTTTCTATTTATTCTCTCTTTTTCTTTCTATGTTTATTTCTTTCTCATTTCGAATATCAGCTTCCTTTCTCATCTTTACTTTTCTTTTCTTTATTCCTTCCTTTTCTTCTTTCTTTCTTTTGTTTCTATTGGTAACTTTGCTTTCTCTTTATGATATACGTTTTATATGTTGACTTATTTCATTATCGTCTGTTCCTCAATATATAAATACACACTTGGCAGGAAACCTGTATCGCAGTGAGGATGACATCATATCTGCCGTTCATAGAACGTTTGACAAACAGGTTGAAAAGCCTTCTTTTAACAGTCAGATGTCAGTTTACCTGAAAAGAAACAATGTAGTTATTAATAAGAAGTGTTGAAATTAAGTAATGCAAGATTTCAGAGCTCCAGCATCACTCCGTCGTCAGCCTCTCAACCTTTCAGCCGCAACCCATGTCGTCCGTGGAAGGAAACTCATTAATAAGAGTTGACATTGAGGCATGCAACATTTAACAGCTTTAGCATCACTACGTCTTCAGCCTCTGAATCTTTCAGCCCCCACCCACGTCGTACGTAGAAAGAAAGTTATTAATAAAAAGAGATGAAATTGATGCATGTAAGATTTCACAGCTCTAGCATAAATCCGTCGTCAGCCTCTGAATCTTTCAGTCGCCACCCACGTCCTACGTGTTAAGAAACCTATTAATAAGAATCGTTGAAATTAATGCATGCAAGATTTCGCGGCTCTAGCATCACTCCGTTGTCAGCCTCTGGTAGCTTTCAGTCCCCACCCACGTCGTACATGGTAAGAAACTTATTAATAAGAAGCGTTGAAATTAATGCATGCAAGATTTAGCGGCTCTAGCATCACTCCGTCGTCAGCCTCTGAACCTTTCAGCCCCCACACACGTCGTACTTGTAAAGAAACTTATTAATAAAAAGAGATGAGATTAATGCATGCAAGATTTCAGAGTTCTAGCATCACTCCGTCGTCAGCCTGTGAATCTTTCAGCCAACTCTCATACGTGGAAAGAAATAATGCATTTATTATCCTTGTGCTTAAACGGAAATTATTATAATGCCGTTTATCGAACGGGAATGCACTGAACGACTTCAGCAGACTTTAGGTGTGAAAATCCTTTCCTTACTCGTTTGTAAAAAATCTACCGAGGTCAATGTTTATAAGATTACAAGCAGTTGTTAAGAAACGGGGCAAATAACACCCACAAGCAATATTAATTATAAATACCCATTTACGCAGGTGTGTACTTATTTTTACAGTGAACCATACGAATTTTCGGCTGGATGGTTGTTTTTGTTTACTGACATATCAACCTCTGTGAGTTATTTTAATGCCGAAATATAATTATTTTGTACGCAATTTTATTTTATTTTTTTATTTATTTATTTTATTTTATTTTATTTTATTTTATTTTTTGAAGATAATAATGCCTTAGTGATACAAGTTTTAGTAATTAACCCTTGGCTGAGAGAAAAGATCGGTTCATGCCTTTTCCAAGAGTGTTTGCATGAAAATAAATATAACGGAACAAAATGGAATTGGAACTCTTTGATTAACAATTCCTTGCCATTACATTCTTTGGTTTCTATTAGTAACTTTGCTTGTTCTTTGTAATATATGCTGACTTATTTGATTATTGTCGGTTCCTCAGTATATATATATATATATACACTTGGCAGAAAACCGGTATCGCAGTGATGATAGCATCATATCTGCAGTTCGTAGAACTTTTGACCAACAGGATGAAAAGCCTTCTTTTAACAGTCAGAGGCCAATTTACCTGAATAGAAACAATGTAGTTATTAATGAGAAGATTTAAAATTAAGGAACGCAAGATTTAAGAGCTCCAGCATCACTCCGTCGTCAGCCTCTCAAGCTTTCAGCACCCACCCACGTCGTCCGTGGAAGGAAACTTAATAAGAAGAAATGAAAATACATGCAAGATTTCAGAGCTCTAGAATCACTCCGTCGTCAGCCTCTCAAATCTTCAGCCGCCAACCACGTCGTCCGTGGAAGGCAACTTATTAATAAAAAGAGCTGAAATTGAGGCATGCAAGATTTAACAGCTTTAGCATCACTCCGTCGTCAGCCTCTGAATCTTTCAGCCGCCACGCACATCGTATCTGGTAAGAAACTTGAAATTAATTCATCCAAGATTTCGCGACTCTAGCATCACTCCGTCGTCAGCCTCTGAATCTTTCAGCCTACAAACCACGTCGTACGTTGTAGGGAACTTATTGATAAGAAGAGTTGATATTAAAACGTGCAAGATTTCACAGCTTTAGCATCACTCCTTCATAGTCAACTTTTCAGCCAACCCTCGCTTTTGGTGAAAAAAGTGCAAGTAATACATAATACATCGACTGCAGCTGCGAAAACCTTAATAAAAGAAAGGAAAAGCAAATTCAAAAGACCAGATACATAAACGATGGCAAGATAAGCCTCTTTATGGTCAATAACTTGCCCGTACCAAAAACATTGATGTAGAGAAACCCCGTACGTAATGAAGGGTTAAAAAGGCTGTAATCGCAGGCTTTATTCATGCAACAGAAGACAATTGCTTACTAAGTAGAAATTACCAAGCACACATAATGAAAAATTGTGTTTAGTCCAAAATGCAGATTGTGTGATAAATATGCAAGAAAGAATTGAACATCTTGTATCAGACTGAACATAAAACCCGGCATGACAGGATGGGTTAATATCAGCATTGGAAAATCTTTTACGTGAAAGAAACATCAAGAAACTTGTATGAACATTACCCAGACATATAGGGCCTGTAAAAATGTTATGGGACTTTATAACAGACAGAACAATCAAGGCATCGTGATTAGAGACCACAAGAACGGATTCTGCTTTCTTACTGACGTAGCAGTCCCTGCAGACTGCAATGTGTCTTTGAAGAGCTTCAAAAAGCTATCAAAATACAAGGACCTTGAAATCGAAATATAAAAAATATGGCACATGAGGATATCAACAATTCTGTAGTTGGAGCCCTCGGGTTGATTGGAAAATAATAATCTCGTACGAAACAAGTTGACGTAGACAAAACCCGTACCCATCAGTGGCTACGTAGTGCAGGGTTGAAAGCTGAAACTGGAGGTTTTATCCTTGCTGCACAGGACCAATGCTTGCTAACTAGAAATTATCAAGCACATATACTAAAATATTGCAGATTCTGTGATAAATATCGAGAAACGATTGATCATCTTGTATCAGATTGCACGATATTGGCACCCACTGAATATAAAACCCGGCATGAGAGAGTGGGCCAATATCTGCACTGGAAAATCTGCAACTTCTACGGGAAGGAAACTGAAAGAAACTGGTATGAACACCACCCAGACCCGGTTACGGAGATAGAACCTGTTACAATTCTATGGGACTACACAATACACACTGACAGAACAATCAAAGCCAACCGCCCAGATATTGTTCTTAAAGACCACAAACAAAAACGCTGCCTCCTTATTGATATGGCAGTCCCTGCTGACTGCAATGTATCTTTGAAGATATTCAAAAAGCTGTCAGAATAAAGGACCTTGAAATAGAAATCTCAAAAATGTGGCATATGGGAACATCAACAATCCCTGTTATAGTTGGAGCCCTAGGATTGGTTGGAAAAGATTGCAGTAGACTAATTGAAAGGATTCCTGGAAGTCCATGCCTCAAGGAGATACAAAAAATTGTTTTGAAAAGTACAGCCCACACTTTACGAAGGGCTTTATCTATGTAATTTTTTTTTTTTTTTTTTGTCAGTGGAAAGTGTCAGGCTGCCATTTCTAACCTTAGGTCTCTGGGCGGGTTCCGGAAAGAAATGTGTAAACGCCAGAAATCAAAGAAAATAATAATAATAATAATAATGACGATTTTCCAACATAACAGGACTCAACAATAGCACACATTAGAATTGGGGGATGAATTCCAATCTCTATTTGGACAAATCTACTAAGTAGATTTAGTATTATCAAATCTACAAGTATGAATTCAAAAAATAAATGAATAAAAGCAGTCATACTAAATTTTAGGAGGCACGCTGGAGTAATGGATAGCGGCTCGGGTTGAGGAATTCTAGCCGAATCCATCACATTCATTTATGTGCTAATACCCTTAGAAAAGGTATGAATCATCTTCTTCTCCTCCAGCTATGGGTAAATAGCAGGATAGGCAGGATAGGCCGGATGGCAACTATAGCAGATTGATGGCAACCTACTAGTCTACCGCAGATAAGCGTGAAATGGCAACCTACTGCCTTGGGAAAAAAATCCTCTTCTTCTCTCCCCAGCTATAAAATCTTCTATACCTTGCGGTCAGTCATAAATGGCAACCTACTCGAAAAAAAAAATAATCTGCCTCGTCAGTCATATATCGAAAGATACATGATCGCCTAAGCATGTATCACGCATGTGACATAACTGACTCATACTAAATATTGATTTTTAAATCACTTCGCGGCTAAATGGTTGTGAGGCAGCCATATCGCCGTATATTTGATTTATATTTATTTTGTTTTACGGCACATCAACACATCAATGGGCTATCTAATGCCGACAAGAAGTCTAGGGTAGGTCTGTATGAGTATATGTATTCTTTGTAAAAAAATCAATTTGTAGATCAGGTTTCATTAACGTATTTTTGTGAAGAGTGTCAAGCGTCAAATGAATTAATGGTAATATTTTTTTTTCAAAAATATATTGCTGGTATTTTAAATATAAAATCTATTTTTTTTTATATTTTCATAATTTTTTGACCACCGTCTGGGGGGGGGGGTCATTATTTACCCATACCTGGGACCCCAACAGGTGCTATAACCCCGGGTCAGCAGGGTAATTGCGAACACCAGCAATTAAGAGGTAATTCCACACTACTCAATACCTCTCGATCAGATGCCTTGCTCCCCGATGTAGTTAATTGTCATACCCAGACCTTTTAACAGTCTATTGAGATATGCAAAAAGAACCTGAAGTGATATAGTCTACTGATAAAGAGATAGTGGTTTGGATTTTTTATGGCTTATCGCCATTCCCATGTTGTTTAAAGCCAGGCCTTATTTTTGGATTATCATATTTTTTTCTTTTTGGAGATAATAATGATCTACTGTCACAAATCGTACTGTTTAACCCATAACTGGGAGCAGAAGAAGTTGATTCTTACCTTTTCCAAGGGTATTTGCGCATAAGTGAATATAACAGATCCGATTGGAATCGAAACTGGACCCTCCGAGCAGTTATCTGTTACACCACCCGCACATCTAAGCACACAGTGCCTGGTATTCCTAAGCGACCACCCAACTCAATGGTTTATTTAATGCCGAAAAGATTTTTAGGATTGGTTCGTAGGAATAAAATACGTATTCTTTGTAAGAAATCAGTTTGGAGATCAGGTTTCATTGATGTATTTTCGTAAAGAGTGTTGAATTAGTTTGTTGATTTTTTTTGTTGATTTTTTAGCGGCATACCAACACCTTAATGGGTTGTTTAATTTCGACATGATTTTTATGTGAGGTCCATATAAATAGAATATGTATTCTTTGTAAGAAATCAATTTGTAGGTCCGGTTTCATTTTCGTATTTTTGTAACGAAGGTTGCATTCGTTTGTTGATTGTTTGATCATTTCGTTTTACGGCATACCAACACCTCAATGGGTTATTTAATTTCGATTTTTAGGATAGGTATATAGAATAAATAGAATATGTATTCTTTGTAAGAAATCAATTTGTAAGTCAGGTTTCATTGACGTTTTTTTTTATAAAGAGAGTTTTTGATGGGAGACAAATATATTGCTGGTATTTTCTTTTTTTTCTGCTATAAAATTTATTGCCTGGTGATTTTACTATAAATATGTATTGTTGGACATTTTCCAATAATAATGTATTGCTGGTAATTTTAATCCAAAATGTATTGTTGGTCATTTTGCTAAAAAATATATTGTTAGTCATTTTGCTATGAAATGTATTTGTTGGTGATTTTGCTATAAAATGTATTGTTGGTCAATTTGCTATAAAATGTACTGTTGGTCATTTTCCTATAAAATCTATTGTTGGTAATTTTGCTTTAAAATGTAGTGTTGGTCATTTTGCTATAAAATGTATTCTTGGTCAATTTGCTATAAAATGTAGTGTTGGTCATTTTGCTATAAAAATGTATTGTTAGTCATTTTACTATAAAATGTATTGTTGGTCATTTTCCTATAAAACTATATTGATGGTCATTTTTCCTATAAAATGTATTGTTGGTCCTTTTTTCTATAAAATGCATTGTTGGTCAATTGGCTATAAAATGAATTGTTGGTCAATTTGCTATAAAATGTATTGTTGCTCATTTATCTATAAAAATATATTATTGCTCATTTTGCTATAAAATGTTTTGTTGGTCATGTTACTATAGATATATATTGCTGGTAATTTGATTATAAAATTTATTGCCTGTTCATTTTACTATAAATATGTATTACTGGTTGTTTTCCAAAAATAACCTATTGCTGGTAATTTTATTATAAAATGGACTGTTTATCATTTTGCTATAAAATATATTGTTGTTTTTTTTTTTTCAAATAAAAATTTATTGCTGGTCATCTTCCAATAAAATGTACTGTTGATTTTTCTTTGGTGTTTCACTATTTGTCCCTAGCTGGGACCCTGATAGGTGTTAATCATCCCGAGCCAGGGAGGACCTGGGAACAGCAGCATTTAAAACCCCCAATCTCCCGTTCAGAGGCCTTTCTGTTGGATGTAGTTGGAATACGTCGAATCACAAGGCTGACAAACAAACGATTGCTCCTGCGTTTAAGGAAGGTTTCCTTTCAAAGAGTTCATTATATCTTTCTCCACATTACGAAATTGGCCACCAAACGAATTGTGGGTCGTTTTATATAACAATATGACACTTTTACCGGACAACGACACAAACATTTCATGTACGTCTTGTTTGATAATCGGGTGTAAGGACGATTCTAATTCGTAAGCGCCAAAGAAAATGACCAAAGTTAATCCTTAAGCACCTGAGAAAACGATAATTATGCGTTTCCTTCGTTTAGATCACAAGTCTGGCCTTTGCAGATTGACTTGCAGGGTTTCGGCTTTTCGAAAGAGAGAAAGAGACAGGTGTCGGTTGGAACGGGTCGAACATTCGGTTGACAAGCAAATGTTGCGTGATTGCTCCAACCTGTACGGAATGGTTTCCCTTCGAAGAGATTATATATTCTGCTAACCCGTCCGCCTTTGTAAACTAATCCAATTGTATGCTGATTATATCGTGCGCCTTTTCTCTGCACGTTGGCGGCTGGCCAACCGTGGAAAGTGTGAAGGAAATCAT